TATAAAACGAATATCCAAAATTTCGATTTAGCATGGACTTTGAACGAGCAGAAAACTTTTAATTCATTCTTTTGTCAACAACAACAAAAAAAGAAGAAGACGTAAATTAATGATAAGTATTAGTTTTTAAGTTGTTATGGCTTTGTTGACTAAAAGCAAAAAACAAAAAAGAAGAAGTGGTGTTGCATATGGCCGACACGGTCTCTCTTTTCATCTTTGTTGGTTGTTCATATCTCTCATATTATATAACTTTTCCATGCAAGTTAATCAACTCTTAAAAGTTACATCTTATTTTGAATTCTTTTAAATTAATAGTATATCCAATCAAAGCTCATTGTTGTGTTATATCATTCGTAAGACCATTCATGTTATGTTCATGTAGTTTTAAAAGTGTAGATATGATTTATGATTTGATATCAAACCAATGTTCTAAAACCTGCTAGACGAACAGTTTTATGTGTTCAAACAATTTTTGGTGACTGACCAAAGAATCGAAAGTCGAAACTATTCTATAAAATGGAATCTAGTTTTAAGTTACAAGAATTTAGTAATGTGACTCACTCTTTGTACAAAAAATTGTATAAAGTAATTAAGTTCCCGACCATATACTTGATGTGACTTGATTCTATATTAATGTAATGTGATCACTAATCCCTCTTGCTAATGTTTCTTAATCATAATGTTTCTCTTTATGGCATGTGTTTACTAGCTTAAACAAAGATTAGCAACTTTTAAACTTCATTATTACCCTTAAATGCCTCTGTTTATTACCCAAATCTCTTTTTTTCGAGATTCGGGTTTTCCCCTAATTTGATATCATGTCTAAATGTAGTCTTAAGATGATAATGTTTTTTAATTTCCCATGAACTGTCCCCAAACTCGATTCTTTCTTAAGGCTTTACCTAAAGTATTAAACAAATAACACACCACCACAATGTTGTTAGTTGAAAGATTTATTTTTCTCCTTTTGGTCACATCATCGTTAAAAATATGTCATTACAATGAACAAACTTCTACAAACAACAATTTTATAATGTAAATTTTCTTTTAGACGGTTTTGCCAACAATACTCCCACTGTCCGACATTTTCGATAAACTTTACATCAATAATTTGCAAGAAATTATGACCTTTGAAAACTAAACCACATACCAAGTTGAGAAGCTTTTAAACTTTTAATCACTGGATCAAATATTTCGAGGAGAACTTTTTAATAAAAAATCTTACATTCCTTCACAAATCTTAGCCTAAGATTGTTGCTAAGATACCCTCAATAATGACGGTTTAACATATGAATAATTGAAATGTACATGTTAGTCTTCTAGATCGATTTGTTACGATTTTGGTATAATCAAGAAACATAGAAGGTCAAAAACAAAATCACAGTTTTGGAAGGAGAAGAATGAACTAAAATTTTAATTTCTCTTGTTATACATAAAAAAGGTCAGAGAAGAAAAAAAGACAAAGCCAACAAAAGCAAAGAAAAAAACAAGGTTATTCTTCTTTTCTCGCCTTTGGTCTTACAGGCTTCACAGGAACTAAGTAGCTGAGAAGAAGTACAGCTATAGGTATTACTGTTCCAATGTAATATACACTCTTGAAGGCAACTATGGTTTCGTGCAAGCTCAAAACCTGAAAGTTACACATACATGAGAGAATGTTGAAAATGAAAATACGCGAAAGAAAACTGAGAGAAGAGTTTTTTGTTACCATGAAACCAACGGATGAGTAATTGAGAACCAATACTGTGTAGAGGAAATTGATTAGCACCAAAACATGTCTCAGCATTGCCATTTTTGGAGGGATTGCTTGTTGCCATCGGTATATAGCTGTTCAATGCAAAAGGATATGTTTTCAGATACCAATTTATTACCGAATTCAATCGAAACAGAACATTAGTGAAAGATGAAGGCGAGTATTGTACCTTTTGAACCGTCGATCATCAATGCTGATTGCACAAAGAATATAATGTATCCAGGATACAGTCCCTGCAAAACCAAAAAAAAACAAGATTTTGATTACTCTCCTTGGCACAAAAAAGATTGAATCTTTATGCAGAATTCACAGTGCGGACAGATGAACAATGATTCCTTTAACATTGTAAGCAATTAGAAACGGTAACTTTCAAGGCCTCAAACAAACAGAATCTGAGTTGAGAATAGCAAGTGATGATATATTCATCGGTTGATCTCACTCAAGAATTGAAAGGTGAGGATTTGGATATTTATAAAGATTCTCAGTGGTAACAAAGGAAAACTATTACTTTATCACAGGAGAGCGATACTCAAAACTCCAAAACATTGAGAATTCAGAAAAGAAAAAGGAAGGGAAGGAGCACTCACATGCCAGACAGCACTGACGGTTTGCGTAGCTAACAATTGGAAGAAACCTGCTTTCTTCCCCGGCTTCACAATTCTCTCATATACATCTACGTCAAAAAAGAAGAAACGGTTCAAAGGCTTATAAAAATATGGCAATCTAGACGACCTCCTCAAATGCATTATTACTCACAGTGACGGAGCCACGTGCTGACTTGTATGTTCCAGAAAAGTGGAATCTGAACCGCACTCTTGGCAAGCTCAACTCCCAAAATATCGACATTCTTTGCACGGTCCCATTTCGCCTTTGTTTGTGTTTCGTCTGCCCAACCACTGAAACCCAAACCGGAGATAATAATGGAAGCCTCTGAGATAGACCATATGAAGTAATACTTCCAACGAGCAGTGAAACCCGCCATGTATTGATAACCAAGTCTCTTCCAGAATCCCCATTCTTGATACACTGGTTCAGTGAACCGGGTTAACGGGAACTGAGGTACTAAATAGAGATATAAAGCCATACAAATGGCAGCCTGAAATATAGCTCGAATCATTGCTCCATAAGGCGATGGTCGCTTTCCTTTCTCAGAAACAGCCCAAATCTGAAATTCACACACAAACAAACAAACTCGATAAATCAAGAACCGCCCTTAGTTGATAATGACAAAACCCGAGGAATAAGAAAGAAAAAAAGCTTACTCCTTTCTCTTCAGTCCATTCAAGATAATCTTTCATTTCAAAAACTGGCCCAGCAAAATGGCTTCCACAACAAAGACAATAACCAAAGTACTCAATTAAAGAAGGCATCTGAATCAAACGGTTCTTCTTCTGAGCCTCACGTAGACCTTCTTCTTTCAACATTCCATCGTTGTAATTTATCGAACACGAAATCACTTTCAGTGTTAACACCATCAAAGCTCCTAACATACATTCATCACAATCAAAACTTCAGCTTCTAATCTCCACCATTATACAAAATCAATGACTCTAGCACTGTAATCACAACCTCAACATAGTTCCACCATGATTCAAAGTTCTAAAAAATCCAAACTTCAAAACAAATCCTAATAGTTTCACACTCGGCTAATAACATAAACCAATATTAAACCTTCAAATTCTACAAAAGTGGAATCAAACTGAGGAACAAAGAGTACCAGTAGAGTCAATTCCTCCTTCTTTCCAAGCATCCCCACTCATATAAAACACATGACTACATAAACAAAATCACAAAACCGTTCAAAACTTGGATCAAAAAGGAGCAAGATTTAGAGACCAAAAGCTTAAAGTTTTAAACTTTACCAGCCAATGAGATAAGCAAAACCCAGGAAGAAAGTGATGAATCCAGACAAGGGTCGATAAATCGCCATCGAAGCGTAACCAATCGTCATCGGGACAAGGAAGTGAAGATTTGAGGAGAAACCAAAGGAGAGATAAGAGAGGAAAACACCAGACGCAGCTGCATAGATGTGTTTACCGAGTCGACTCGGTACGAATCGCCAAGAGAACGAGACTGGGATCGTCGCGACGAAACAGAGGAGGAATCGGAGAACGGCGACGGATACGCCGATCGATGCCGCCGTGGAATCCATGTCGAGCAATCCCATGGTTGCGTGTGAAGTGTGGTGAAAGTGAAGATTTTGAACTTTTCGTGTCAACTCGGATTGAGTTATGACGACGACAACGACGACTCGCACAGTGCGGACATCTGAATCCCAAAACGAATCTCGTGTTGGTTTGGTTTGGTTTCGATCTTTCCTATATGTGAAGTTACAATAGTACCCTCGAGGTCTTCTTAACAATGTTCTTGGACATATCGAAGAACTACCCAAAAAAACACCGTATTTTGTAGCTCGATCTAATTTATGATCTTACCCACAAATATTGATTGTATTTTTTTTTCTTAAATATGTTTGTAAATTGTAAGAACAAAAGAAAAAATACATTTCACAATTGAGATTTTGTTGTTGAATAAAAAGTTTACAATGGATAAAAAAGTATAAAACTTATGTACTTAACAAAAAGATATCATAACAAGAGAATTGAGTAGTAGTTATGTTATTAACTTATAATATACCAAAAATTATAATTATTCAAATGTCAAATAACACCAAATTTTATGTAAGTACTCTTAACTTTGATGGTTCTTTGGAAGAGTGAAAAAGTAGGTATACCAGTGATCAATTTTAAAATTAATTTTATGCTATTTTGAAAGAAAAAAACAAATCTCTATTGAAATGATTACAAATGCATGGATTGAATCAATCATATTGCAAATTAAAATTACAATATCTCTAAAAAATTACACTAAAATTAAAGAAACATTGAATTATTTCTTGTTGTTTTAGAAATGGAATTTCAAATAATTTAAGAATTTTAATTCTAGTTTCATAATATAACTTAAATTTATGCTATTTTGAGGAATATCTGTAAAATATTAAAGCTACATGATTGAGTAACTTATCTTGCAAAATAAAAGTCATAATAGTTATCATATTATTAGAATAAATAAAAAATTAATAAAACATATATTTACTATCTTATAAGACCATACCTATGTAAATATTATTATGTATGTGGCATATCACCTAAATCTTAAACTATTATATGACATTTAACTAATGATTCACCTTCTATATATACAAGCTCACACACATCTTCCTATATAAAACACGCATAACCAAACAATCAAACATCAACATTCACAATCCAAACACACAAATCTTCTTGTACAATTACTAAAGATAAGTCTTTGAGAAGAAAAAGAAAAGAAAAAATGATGAACACAAAGAGTGTAGCCATGTTAATGATGGTGATGGTGGTACTAATGGGAATGGAGAACATTTTGGTTCAAGCAAAAAGTAGTCATCATCAGTCTCCTTCACCTTCTCCATCTCCTTCACAAGATGATTTCGATTCGGAGTCTCCTTCTCCTTCACAAGATTTTGATGATTATTTAGAATCTCCTTCTCTTTCACCTGACTCTGATTCTCCTGCACCCTCACTAGATTTTGATGTTTATTCAAAGTCTCCTTCTCCTTCCCCTGACTCTGATTCTCCTGCACCTTCACCTTCAAAGCCAACCCCAAAAGAAGTAAAATGCATTCTTGGTTGTACTATTCATCAGTGCTTTCACCTTGGCCAAAACTCAAGTAAGTTGGACATTTTGTATTAATTATGGATTGATCTACGTAAATAAACTAGCTTACTCCTTTGGGAATGATTTTTTTTTTTTTTTTATAGTTAAAACGGTTAACATGTTTGGTTCATACATATGTTTTTGTGTTAAACCATGCACTGATATTACAAGTTATGGTTGTGAATCTAAAAAATCTTATTTTCAAACACGTAAACTGAGTAATATGTATATATATATTTGGATCTAACAAAAGTGTCTTCTATTTCTTTGGGAATTTGCCATGACAACAGACGATAGGAGCGCGTTTGAATCATGCTTTCAAGAATGTGCGAAGACATGCAAAACGAAGAACACGAGCGATGATATATATATGTCTAACATTACTAATTAAAGAGTACTGTGTTTTTCTTTTGTTACCTAATTTCTCATCTCATAGTACTTTTTTGTGAGACGTAATAAAATATATATGGGATATAATAAACATTGATATATGGGATATAATAATCATTATGAACACCTACTATACGAAATCACACACATTTTCCTATATAAAGCACACAATGATTAAGCAATCAAACATCAAAATTCACAATCCACACACAACAATCTTCTTGTACGATTACTAAAAAATAAGTCATTGAGAAAGATTAAAAAAAAAAAAAATGATGAACACAAAGAGTGTAGCTAATGTTAAGTATGGTAATGATAGTACTAATGGGAATGGAGAACGTTTTGGTTCAGGCAAAGATGATAGCTATTTCCTTCTGTGAGTTTCCTGAAAAATGTGGTCATCATCATTCTCCTTCTCCATCTCCTTCACAATATGATAGCTATTTCGATTCAGATTCTTCTTCAAAGTCTCCTTCTCCTTCACAAGATTCAGATTCTCCTGCACCTTCACAAGATGTTGATGTTTATTCAAAGTCCCTTCACCAGATTCTGATTCTCCTGCACCTTCACCTTCTTCAAAGCTAGCTAACACATAAACAAGTAAATTGCGTTGTTGGTTGTACTATTCATCAGTGCCTTCACCTTGAAAATAACTCAAGTAAGTTGGATACGTATTATTTATGGATTGATCTATGTAAATAAACTAGCTTACTACTTTGTTAATGATTTTTTTCTTCTTATTAGTTGAACGTTTTAAACGTCTGGCTCATATATATGTTTTTGTGTTAAACTATGCACTTGATATTACAAGCTGTGGTTATGAATGAAAAAATTTATTTTCAAACACGAAAACTGAATAATATGTATATAACGAAAGTGTTTTTATTTGCTTTTGGAAATTTGCCATGACAACAGACGATGAGAGGGAGTATGAAAAATGCTATCAAGAATGTGAGAAGACATGCAAAACGAAGATATGTCTAAGGTTACTAATTAACTAATTAAAGAGCAAATGATTATTTTGCTCCTACTTAATTTTGTTACTTAATTTCTCACCACATGTATCATCATCTCAAAACGTATTTTTGTGTGAGACGTAATAAAAATATATGGGATCGGACATACTAAACGTGCATTGATATTATTCTTTAAAACAATAGCATCATAAAATATAGATATCATCACAAATTTAGTGTATCACTACGCATAAAACAATAAAGTTTTGATTAATTTACAACATAGTATTAGGAAATGTAATGTTTGTTGAGACATGAGAGATTCACAAACCATAACGAGAGCATCATTCACTTCACGCATCGGTTTTGTAAAGACAATGTTTGAGATGTCCACAACACATTAGCCTTACATGTTTTTTTTTTTTTTTTTTTTTTTTTCATATTTGTTCCTCTAAGTAACCTAGAAATTAGAATAGGGTGGAGAGGGATGCATATTATTTTTCATTAATTATAATTATTCTTTGGTGTTTAATTAATTATTGTAAGCCTTTGTTTTTTTTTTTCTTTAAAAAAAAAGGAAAAATTTAATCAATGGACAATGTTTAATGTCCTCATCATGACTAAATATAAGATGCCATTTGAATTTTTCTCCAATCTTAGTTACAAAGATCCTAAATAATCTCATCCTCACTTTGTATATAATCAAATCGTTCTCTTCTTCTCTTTTTGGTTTTTACTATAATCAAATCTTTCTTTTCAAGCTTCCTAACTCTCAACAAATTAAATTTTCACCGTGATGGCTTTCAGAATCATCGTAAGTTTTTGTTTTTCTTGTCTATTCAAATGTAAATATTAATTTTATATCATATTTGAAGACTTCTATTATTTTTTTATAGAGGCAATTGCGACCGGTCGGAAACCAATTTGGTGGCTCTCGCCGCTTCGCAACCACCGTCGCCGATGGTGCCAAACAAACATATAACAAGTAATAAGAGATACTTATATATATATATATATATATATATATATATATGGTTTTATATTTTCTCTCAAACATGCATGAAAGGAAAGATCCATAGAAGAGAAAACAAAAAATTTAATTTGATCAATGGAGTTGTTTTCCCTTTGAAATAGGTTCTCTGTAACGGGAGATTTTGCACCAGTGGCAATAATAGGAGGATTTGTTGGTCTAACGGTGCTAATGGCAGGACATAGCCTGAAGCAGCAGCTTGTGCATTCTCCGGCTATCAGTACAAGAAAGAATAGAAGAGCTGCTGTAGCTGAGGTCGATGATCCTGAGAATTGTGTTTCCTCCGCTGACAAATTCATCAACAAGTCTTGGCTACGTAAAGTTGGTCAGATTCAAGATAAGTCTAAAGCTATCTTATCTGATCCCACCCGACCTAACCCATACACCACGTATGTTGTTGTTTTGTCACGACCTCTCTTCATCACATATGACAAATTTTGAAAGAACTTATACTGATAAATCAATCTTTTGTGTTTCTTTTGTTTGTGTGTGCAAAGGCCTCGAAATGCAGAGACATTGAACTCCGTTGGTGTGGCTCCAAAGGGTATCTGATAACCTTCTGAAGAGTCGATCAAGTTTTTTGTTTTTGTGCTGCTTTCAAATAAAATTTGCATTTATCTTTTCTAAGTTCTTTGTTCTAATTAATCTGTACATATAAAATAATCTCTTTGAGCTTGTTTCAAATAAAGTCTCTTTCTTATTCTTCCTAGTTCTGTCCACGAAGCAGCTTACAAACAACAACTTTAACATGAAAACGTACTACACTCACCTAACTTAGTTAGGAAAGCATATCCAGAAAGCTTTTGTCCAATCTCCCTTCATGCAACATATTGGTCACCATGATAATTGTTGAAGCATCTCCAGCAAACCTGCAACTTCTCATTTCTTTGATGAGTTCAGCCGATCCAGCTTTGTCACCGTCTCTTAGGCAGGCTCTGATCAGCGTATTATATGTACCGCTATCTGGAAGAGGACCATCTTCTTTCATTTTTCTAAACAAGGCATCAGCTTCCTGTGATATGCGTTTATTACACAAGCCTGAGATCAATGTATTGTAGGTTATAACATCAGGCTGCACTCCATTAAGGCTGAGGCTACAAAATAGATCCCACCCATCTTCCACCTTCCCAGCCTTGCACATACCTTCAATCATTATATTGTACGTGACGATATTAAGTTCTATTCCACTCTTTTGCATATATTCGAATATCACCAATGCTTTCTCTATCCTCCCATTATTACAAAGTCCATCTAACAAAATGTTGTATGTCATGATACTGGGAGGCACACCATCAGATAACATATCATTGTAAACTTTTTGGGCCCTATCACAATCTCTAGCTTGAAAAAAGCCTTGGATGAGAGTGTTGTAAGTGATTGTGTTTCCAACCAATCCTTTTTGAGACATCTCTCGGAAGAGTCCCATACCCTCTTCTACTCTCTTAGACTTACAGAACCCCTTTATGAGAGTACTATATGTCACTACATTTGGAAAACAACCCTTGCTAACCATCAACTTAAACATCTGCTTAGCCTCATCTAAGCGATCGTGCATGCAAAACCCGTTGATCAATGAACTGTACGTGAAAATATTAGGATCTATAGACCTTTGAATCATATCCACATACAATGTCTCAGCCTCTACAAGTTTCCCATCCTTCACAAACGCATCGATCAATGCATTGAAAGTCACTACATTGGGGTTGATTTTCCTCTCAATCATATCACTAAGTAGTCGAGAGGCATCACTCCATCGTCCGTAATTACAAAAGCAACTTATGAGGGAGTTGTAGGTAACAACATCGGCTCTAATTCCTTTGTTTTCCATTTCCTTGAACAGGTTGACCGCATCATTCGCATGTCTGTGTTTGCAAATTCCATCAATAACTGTGCTGTAGATTACTATATTTATCTCTATCTTACTCGCTTCCATTTTCTTCAGCAGATTTAAAGCTAAATCAATATCACCTCTCTTACATAGTCCATTTACAACAGCACCATAAGTAAACAGATCTGGTTGACAGCCCTTTACAACCATTCGATCAACTAAAGCCACTGCTTCGGAAGCTTTGTTGTGGAGAAAAAGTCCATGAATCAAAGTTGTAAATGTAACAGTATTAGGTTGATATCCCATTTCCACCATTTGATCAACCAAAGCTACAGCCTCGGATATCCTCTTACCGTGGCAGAAACCATTGAGCAGCGAAGAAAGCGTGACAATATCGGGTTCATAACCGAGTTTCATCATCTTGCCAAGAAGAGCTAAAGCAAAAGAGACTTGAGAGGAGCGACAAAAACAATTAATCAAAATACTGTAAGTATAGAGATCATGACGGATTCCCAACTTTTGCATCTGCTCCCCCAAGGAGATGACAACAGCATGCTTCTTCATTTTGGCAATGGAACTCAACAATTTATTGAAATCAATGATTGAAGGGCGTGGACGAGACTTGACCATAACACTGAACATATCAACAACATCATCTAACTCCATATCACTCAACCCAGTTCTCAATTTCTCTCTGTAATCACCACTGACGCTAGAATAAGCTCGTACCCGGTAACAACATAAGCTACAATAGCTAAACGAAGACGAAGCAGCAGTTCTAGGGTTACCTTTCTCAAGAAGACTCCGACGAGCATATCTATTCCCCGTCGATGCAATCGCAGACAATCTCCTCATCTTCTTCAGCTGATTTTGTTTCTTCTCAATTTCTGGTTTTCTACCAAAGAGACTCACGAGAAAAGAGTGACTGATTTCATTTTTGCACCGCCGTTGGATCATTTTTGGTATTTGACGGTCAAGATTTGATCTTATCATTTCCAATTTTACTAACCGACCGGTTCACTCTGAGTTCTATACGATTTTGTTTCATATTGTTTTTAATGTCTTTCTTTCTAATGTATTTTTTTGGGAATTTTTTTTTTTAATATACGTAATATTTACTAATAAGCCAGCCAATAATATACTTAAGCAGCAGAAGCTTCTAAATTAAAATCATGCAACCCATTTCCTCTTAGAACAGAAGCAGTTCCAAGAAGATTACCTTTCTCAAAATTTTCAATTGAATCACTCGGTCTGGATAAACCGGAATTTGTGTCTTGTTCAAACTTCAAAACGCAAAAATATGTGTGACAATTAAAAATGCTAATTCTAAGTAAGAGTGAAAGCATAAATTACTCACGTCTAGATACAAGTAAAAGCAGCGTCACATAAAAATGCTAATTCTACAAGAAAACTACTCTTGTCCTCCTTCAAGTAAAAGCAGCTAGGCTTTTCTTTGAATTCTGAAACGTTCACATCTTGTTTCTGAGAAAAATGAAACCTCATAATTAACCTTTGTATCATATAAATAGGAGCTTGAGCAAATCTTAGTATTTCCTCCTGTAAACTGAACTATATGTGATTGGAGAGCAGAGAATGCACATGTTATTGCAGGTTGTAAGCTAACGAACAGTTCACACATCCTCTAATGGAAAATTCGGTTCCTCCAATCTCAACTAAACATTTGAAGAAATTGAGAGTGAAGCATCAAACGAATTTCCAGAAACTAATTTAGGAAAGCATGTCCAGAAAGCTTTTGTCCAATCTCCCATCATGCAACATATTGGTGACCAACCCAAAAGATGAAGCATCTCCAGCAAACCCACAACTCCGCATTTCCCTGATGAGTTCTGCTGATTCTGCTTTGTCACCATCTCTAAGATGTACCCTAATAAGCGTATTATAGGTACGGTCATTTGGCAAATGCCCATCTTCTTTCATTTTCCTGAACAAGGCATCCGCTTTCTCCTTCAAACCTTTTCTACAAAATCCTGAGATCATTGTAGTGTAGGTTACAACATTAGGCTTCACTCCTTTAAGGCTGAGACTACATAATAAATCCCACCCTTCTTCCACCTTCCCAGCCTTACACATCCCTTCAATCATAATATTATATGTAACTATATCAAGTTCTATTCCACTCTTTTGCAGATCCTTGAATATGACCAATGCTGTCTCTAGCTTGCCGTTATTACAAAGTCCGTCTAACAAAATGCTGTATGTCATGATAGAGCAAGGCAAACCACCAGAAACCATCTGTTTGAATAGTTTTTGGGCACTATCACAGTCGCCATCTTGAAAAAACCCTTGGATAAGAGTGTTGAAAGTGATTGTGTTTCCAACCAATCCTTTTCGAGACATCTCGCAGAAGAGTTCCATACCCTCTTCTACTCTCTTAGACTTACAGAACCCTTTTATCAGAGTACTATATGTCACAACATCGGGGGAACAATCCTTGCTAGCCATGAACTTAAACATCTGCTTAGCCTCGTCTAGGCGATCGTGCATGCAAAACCCATTGATCAATGAACTGTACGTTAAAATATCAGGATCTATAGACCTTTTGATCATCTCCTCGTACAATTTTTCTGCCTCTACAAGTTTCCCCTCCTTCACAAATGCATCGATCAATGTGCTGAAAGTAACTACATCGGGGTTGATTTTCCTCTCAATCATATCATGAAGTAGTCGAGAGGCATCACTCCATCGTCCGGAATTACAAAAGCAACTTATGAGGGAGTTGTAGGTAACAACATCGGCTCTAACTCCTTTGTTTTCCATTTCGTTGAACAGGTTGAGCGCATCATCAGCATGTCTCTGTTTGCAAATTGCATCAATGATTGTGCTGTAGATCACAACGTCAGCCTCGATTTTCCCTGCTTCCATTTTCTTGAGCAGATTTAAAGCTAAATCGATATCACCTCTCCTACATAGTCCATTTACAACAGCACCATAAGTAAACAGATCTGGTTGACAGCCCTTTACAACCATTCGATCAACTAAAGCCACTGCTTCTGAAGCTCTGTTGTGAAGAAAGAGTCCATGGATTAGAGTGTTGAATGTAACGGTATTAGGCTGATATCCCATTTCCACCATTTGATCAACTAAAGCTACAGCCTCGGATATCCTCTTACCGTGGCAGTACCCATTAAGCAGCGATGAAAGCGTGACAATATCGGGTTCATAGCCGAGTTTCATCATCTTGCCAAGAATTGCTAAAGCAAGAGAGATTTGAGAGCAGCGGCAAAAACAGTTGATCCAAATATTGTAAGTATAAAGATTATGAGGGATTCCCAAATTTGGCATCTGCTCAGCCATAGAGATGACAACATCAAACCTCTTCATCTTAGCAATAGCACTCAAGAGTTTACTGAAATCAATGATTGAAGGGCGTGGACGAGACTTGACCATAACACTGAACAGACCAATAGCATCATCTAACTTTAAATCACTCAGCTCAGTTTTCAATTTCGCTCTGTAATCACCACTGACGCTAGAATAAGCTCGTACCCGGTAACAACATAAGCTACAATGGCTAAACGAAGACGACGCAGCAGTTCTTAGGTTACCTTTCTCAAGAAGACTCCGACGAGCAAATATATTTCCCATCGATGCAATCTCAGACACTCTCCTCATCTTCAGCTGATTTGGTTTCTTCCCAACTTCCGACTCCAAATCTATAGCTCCGATGAGAGCAAAGCTCACGATTTCATTTTTGCAACGCCGTTGGATTATTGATTGTATTTGACGGTCAAGATTTGATCTTACATCTCCAGCTTTACCTACCGACCGGTTCACTCTGAGTTCTCTATACACGGGTTTGTTTCATATCGTTTTAATGCAAAATTGAAATCATCCAACACATTTCTGATAGAACCGGGTTTTATGCTATCAACTATGTAACAGAAAATACATGAGAATCAGAAGAAATGGAGGTTAAAGGTGAAGAATGGTGAAGAAGAAGACGCCACTCTCGTTGGCTTGATTGATCAACTTTGTGATGATGTTTACAGATGAAGAAAGCGTACTTAAATACACGAAGATACTAAAAGAGTTGGGCTTAGACTATATAACCAAAGATGAAGCCCATAATAAGGGTCCACTAAACTTATGTCGGGTCGTATCAATTTATTCTAGACCAGAAGTAGTTCCAACAAGATTACTTTTCACAAATTTTCAAATGAATCACTCCGGTTTAGATAAACCGGAATTTTTACTTGTTCCGTTTGAATGTCTAAGATATGATAATATTTTGCAAAACTTGCTCTGTTTGAATATAGTTATATTTGTATAAGAAGAAGACAAAAACATAAATTTTGTATACGGGGAAAAGGGAGAACAGAACCAAGAGTACAAAGAGACACCAAAAATCTGCAGTAGAACCAAACCAAGTTGAGATCTTCTTGAATGGTAAGTGTTTCTTCTAATGATCACCCCTTACCAGAGCAATAGACAAGTCTCCATGTTCGTGTAATACTATACTTTCTTTTCATCTCTCTAATTGAGTTTGTACACTGAACAAAACGTATCAGAGATGGTGAAGAACAATGGAAATTAACAACAAACTCACTGATGAATAAACATATATTATCGTAGTACATACCCTGAACCAAAAAACATATAAAAAGAAATTACCAAAATTGAAGCCATTGTCAAGACCAATAAAGCATCAAAACGGTATTAGAACCAGAGCCGTAGAGTCCCTTGCGATCCTAACACAGACATATACCTCACCCCTAATCAACTAGCCATAGCAATAACAGAGATTTCCCAATATGATCAACTAAATTCTCAAAGAGGATCCATAAGCCGATAGAACTACAAGCACACAATAAGAATTGGCATATTGAGGGTTTCTCTTATATATTTCAACTATCTGACTTGGCCATGGAGACCACTGATCTCATTATCAAGGCCAGAATGCGCTCGATTTCCTCTGAACCTGCAGTATTTCTAGTGCTAAGCCCATCTCTGCAACCAAAATACAAATCTAGAAAGAGAAAGACAAAGAGAGGCTGTCAAATTACGAACCTTTGGTTCCCTCTGATGGTGAAAACTGAGATGAGAGGAGTAAACTGCTTCAAGAAAGCATATCCAGAAAGCTTTTGTCCAATCTCCCATCATGTAACATATTAGTGACCAAGCTAATGGTTGAAGCATCTCCAGCAAACCCGCAACTCCTCATTTCTTTGATGAGTTCAGCCGATCCAGCTTTGTCACCGTCTCTTAGGCATGCTCTGATAAGCGTATTATAGGTACCACTACTTGGGAGATGACCATCTTCTTTCATTTTTCTAAATAATGCCTCAGCTTCCAGTAATATGCGTTTACTACACAAGCCTGAGATCAATGTATTGTAGGTTATAACATCAGGCTTCACTCTTTTAAGGCTGAGGCTACAAAATAGCTCCCACCCATCTTCCACCTTCCCAGCCTTGCACATCCCTTCAATCATTATATTGTACGTGACGATATTAAGTTCTATTCCACTCTTTTGCAGATCTTCGAATATCACCAATGCTTCCTCTATCCTCCCATTATTACAAAGGCCATCTAACGAAATGTTGTATGTCCATATATCAGGAGGTATACCATCAGAAACCATCTGCATGAAAACTTCTTGGGCATTATCACAATCTCTAGCTTGAAAAAAGCCTTGGCTGAGAGTGGTATAGGTGACTGTGTTTCCAACCAATCCTTTTAGAGACATCTCTCGGAAGAGTCCCATACCCTCTTCTACTCTCTTAGACTTACAACATCCCTTTATGAGAGTATTATATGCCACTACATTTGGAAAACAACCCTTGCTAACCATCAACTCAAGAAATTGCTTGGCCTCGTCTAGACGATCATGAATACAAAACCCATAGATCAAAGAATTGTAGGTGAAAATATCAGGATCTATAGACCTTTTGATCATCTCCTCATACAATTTTTCAGCCTCTAAAAGTTTCCCCTCCTTCACAAATGCATCGATCAATGCATTGAAAGTGACTATATCGGGGTTAATTTTCCTCTCAATCATATTACTAAGTAGTCGAGAGGCATCATTCCATCGCCTGTAATTACAAAGGCAACTTATGAGGGAGTTGTAGGTAAAAACATCGCCTTGAATTCCTTTGTTTTCCATTTTGTTGAACAGGTTGAGTGCATCATCCGCATGTCTGTGTTTACAAAGACCATCAATGACTGTGTTGTAGATTACTATATTTGTCTCTATCTTACTCGCTTCCATTTTCTTGAGCAGATTGAAAGCTATATCGATATCACCTCTCTTACATAATCCATTTACAACAGCACCATAAGTAACTAGGTTCGGTTGACAGCCTTTGTCAGCCATTCTGTCAACTAAAGCCACTGCGTCTGAAGCTCTGCTGTGAAGAAAAAGTCCATGAATCAAAGTTGTAAATGTAACGGGATCAGGTTGATATCCCATTTCCACCATTTGATCAACTAAACCTAAGGCATCGGATATCCTCTTACCGTGACAGTACCCATTGAGCAACGAGTTAAGCGTGACAATATCGGGTTCATAGCCAAGTTTCATCATCTTGCCAAGAAGAGCTAAAGCAAGAGAGACTTGAGAGGAGCGGCAAAAACAGTTAATCAAAATACTGTAAGTATAAAGATCATAAGCGATTCCCAAGTTTTGCATCTGCTGCCCCAAGGAGATGACAACACAATGCTTCTTCATCTTAGCAATGGTACTCAACAATTTATTGAAATCAATGACTGAAGGACGTCGACGAGACTTGACCATAACACTGAACAGATCAACAGCTTCATCTAACTTTATATTACTTAGCCCAGTTCTCAATTTCGCTCTGTAATCGTAACTCTCACCAGAAAAAGCTAGTCCCGAGCAACGAAACCCACAAAGAGCAGTTCCAGGATTACCTTTCACTAGAGTATGCCGATGAACAAATCTTCTGCCCGTAATCTCAACCGATCTCCTCATCATCGAGACTCTGGGGTAGACGATTAATTGAACCCAAGAAATCTCCGTTTTGGGGAAAATTGTTTAAATTTGAATCAAGTTGTTGGTTATCTAATTTGAGCCGGTTCAATGCCGATTCACAGAAATCTGGTTCTTTAGAAACCTAACCAATCAGATTATCAGACAAGTCGCATATCTATCTCCGAGCCGGTTCAACTGATAAAGCATTAAACGCTGCGTTTCACTTCGCACACACACACAGTGACACAAACCTTCAACAGTAGTAGAACTGAAAGGAAGTTAAAAAAAAAAAATTCTTTCAATTTCAAATTCAAAGTTTACAATCTGACTTAAACAATGAAACTAATAGCCTGACTAGTACTTACTACTAATTACCCTCTTCTTCTTCTTTTTTCTCTTTACATTGAGTTTTCTAATTACCCCCAGAGATTCTACAAAAGGTTTTAAAAACTAACAAAAAGAACAGCTTTTCTTAACCTCTAAACTACAGTACCAAACTCCGGTTTTTGCAACTTTAATTCTGCCTCAACCGGTTCTTACACGAGCTCGGATACACAACTACAGAATCTAGACATAGCCCGCCTTTAGTATGCGTGCAATCAATCTGAGTCATCGAGAACTTAATCTTCGTCGACGAACTTTTCGATTTACCAACCACAAAGTCTCCAGCATGGTGATGACTCCAGTTCCCTGCTTCGGTTAACATGCATTGGGATGAAGAATGTTGTCCATCTTCAGTCGAGAGTTGAAACCTAACCGGTTTAATGTTCCAGCCATGAACCTGTTCTGTGTCACAAACCCTCCAACCAAACCGCTTCCCCGGTTTGCCTAGATGAAGCCTGAAGTAAACACTGTAGGTTCCAGCTGGGAATGGGAAATCAATCTCTCCATCAACTTGAAACCACCAGATTTGTTGAACGTATGCTACTGAAGAGAATCTGCAGGAACCAACAAAAAAGAATATCGTCAGATTAAGAATCATAGTAACACAAAGATGGGATTAAGAATAGGCCATTTTCAATCAGAGCAAATATCATTCACTAATTTTACTAAAGAGACAAGAAAACAGAGGAAATATCAAAACTTTGACAGAAGCAACAACAAAAAAAGAAAACTAAATCACATAAACTTATAGCATATGAAGAAGAATCATACCATCACAAAACATTAAACTCAAGTTAGGATTTGTATCCATAACACCTCAAATCAACTAACAATGTTGCCTTTATGAACATATCAAACATCATTCACTAATCTAACAAGAAAACAGAGGAAAAAAATCAAAACTTTGCACATAAACTACAAAAACCAAACTTTGAACACCCAAATTAACAAAACACAAGCCACCATAAGCAAACAAAAACTAGCAACAACCTAACAGATGCATGAAACCATCGGATCTAATGAAAACAAAGTAATTTGGGTGAGAAACAAAATCTCACCGAGAATCATCAGTCGGAATATGACTCCAGTATCTCCGATCATCAATTCCGGTTATCGTTAAGCCTTTAGCCGATATGCATAAACAGAGCCCACCGGTTCGTTTATCTACCCAAGCTTTCTGCAGAAAACATAAAAAAAAAAAAATCGAATTAAAAACATAAAATTTTTCCCTCTAATTCACAGATTATGAATTCATTTCCTAAACCCTTTCATGCAAATCATTTAACAAAACAAATCCCCAAATTTTTTTTGTTTCTGAAGAACCCTAAAAATTAACTTGAAGCAAAAGAAATCTTTAGAAAAAGGACGAACCTTGTTGCCCTCGTCGAACGAATTAACTCGAGAGAGAAAAGTAAAGATGTCTCTTTTACTCAAATTTTCCGGGAAACCACCAAGGATTTTCTCGAGAATCAATCTATAATCTGGAGGAAGTTTCGATTCCCAGACGAAATCAGCCCACGAAGCGCCATGAAAAGCTCTGTTTAGCTTCGAGAATCTACAGATCTCAACCGGATCCAAGCTCTGGAGAATCAAAGCCACGCAACTCTCAGGCAAATCTCCTAAACCAGGCTTGCACAGATCTCGATCTCCATAACAAGACGATAGGTTTTTGTGAAACAGAGAGAACCCTGTACCCATGGGGTTCTCAAAAACCCTTTTGATTGAAGAATAAAAAAAAAAAGCTCTCTTTTTTTTTTTAGGATCTTCAGAAAACACAAAGAACAGAGAAATCTTCAGAAATTTTGAAACTTTCGTTTTGGGTTTTCTTCTTTTTTGTTTTGAACGAAGAAAGAAATCACAAAATCGTAACTCAGAAACAAAGCAAAGGAAAACAAAAAAATGGAGGAAAGAAGGGTTTGGTGGTGACAGACACAAATGGTGTTTGAGGATTCTGATTTTTGGACGGTGACGCAAATGGGAGGGGATATGTGTGTATATATATATATGTAACTTCTTTAACTCAAGGAAGGATCTATTTAATTAATACTTAAATAAATAAAATATACATGAAACTTTTTGTTTTGTTTTTTAATTGGCTGATTTTTATTGTATATGTGAAAAATCGCAGCAGTTTTATTACTTAACCATGAAACTTTTGTTTCTTGTAATATGAAAATAATCTGTTGGATTTTGGATATGGTTTTATCTATTTATTTTTATCCTAAATTAGAAGATTGTTCATTATTGGCCGTAGATTTGTTTTCAGCTTCCAATTGTTTGAAATGTGTGAGTTGTAATAAGAATTAGATATAACTATAAGACAAGTATAATTAATCATTCGTTTTATCCATATAATGAAATCACTAAACATTTGTATGATTCTCTTTCTGTAAGAAAAAAAAAACAAGATAACTCTTTTTTTGTAAATGTGTCCAAAAAGTAAATCTTAGTGATATACTAGTATTTGTTTTCTAATTTGTAATTGTTTCATAAATTTCGTATTTTAGAATTTCTCTTTTCTTTTATTCATTCTAGTTTTTCCAACAATTATGCATGTAATATTTAGACTTATGATGCATGTACCATTTATCATAGTTAATATCGAAATATAAAATAAAATCAAATCAATATAGTGAAATAGAATGCATGTATATTTTGTATTAACATTAATAAAATATTTATCTGAAACTTTTTGTAACGCATAAATTCTTAGATTTTTAACATATAAACTTCACACAAATGTCATGCAATACAATCTTAAAACATTAAATAAATAAATGAAATATAATTTTATCTTTTAAATTTCATATTTTAGAATTTCTTTTTTTAATTTTACTTTTCTTTTTTTTCTGTTATGCATTCTATTTTTCAACAATTATGCATGTACCATTTATCTTAGTTAATATCGAAAATAAAATAAAATAAAAATCAATATAATGAAATAGGATGTATGTATATTTTGTATTAACATTACATTAATATCTGAAGCTTTTTGTAACGCATAAATTCTTAGATATTTAACATATAAACTTCACACAAGTGTCATGCTATACAATCTTAAAAATGGTATAAATAAATTATCTTATTAATAACTTCACACGCTAATTTTCATAAGTTACAAGATAAACCATTTTATATTATCGAATTGAATAAGTTTTTTTTTAATTTAATATAAGTTCATTCTGATAAGTTTATTTGAAATCAATATTTCTTAATAAAAATAATAAATGTATAATGGGATTTTTTTACCATAGACATATAAAACTTTGCACAAGTTTTCCGTGAGGTAGTTTTTTTGCCAACGCATATATTAACGAGATTCTTAGACCATAAAACCTCTACACGAGATTTCCATGAAATGGTTTTTTTTTCTTTATGTGTTTTTCATGTTTCGTTTTAAGTTCTAAGAACTCATGATTGGGTATACGATATAAGTGTAATATATTTAAGATTTTTATGTGTTTGGTATTGGAAGAATTTCAAAAATATATACAGAATATAGATAGTTTTAATATGTGTTTGGTATTCATATGTAGATATATACAGAATTCTGATATATAATAATAGTTATTGTCTTTTATATAAATTATATATATATATATATATACATATATCAAATTTTAAGAATTTTTAAACAAGTTAAGGAAATGATTTTTAAATCCTTCAAAACTTATTGAAAATAATTTCTTGATAAAAAATTTACGTCAACATTTTAGAGACTAAAAGGAACACCATCCTTACTGAATTGAAAATCCCAACATGAAATTTTTTATCAAATAAAAACTGGAATATTCTGTAGCCATCCTCATTTTCTTTAAAACTAAACTGGATCTTTGCATTTCATATAACTATTAACAGAGTACTTCTCGTATAAGTTAATCTTGGAAAAATAAATCTTTTTAATTTAATGAGATTCTCATATTTATAACATGATGATTGATGATGATGATCATAAAATTGTTTAGTACAGAAAATCCGTACGAGATTTCATGATTCAATGTCATTATTTATGAAAACATGTTTTTGATAAAGTTTATGACGATGCAGATAATAAAATTTACTGAAAAAGTAAACCAAATGTTTATTAGAAACAGCAGAAACAGGAAGGTAATGATTTATTTAGCATGTGATTTTGTTTTTGTAAAATGCAGAATCATTTGTGAAAAGCATTATGATTTCATATGTAGCTAAAAAAAGATTTATTATAAATTTACAATTAGTGTATATGACAAAACTTCAGTAGATAGAGAATTACATCCTAATTAATATATATATATATATATATATATATATATTTCAATCTATAATTCTTACAAAAGTGTAACTTCTAAGAGATTTTTTTTTGCCTATGAATTTCTAGAAGAATTTGATTTGACTGACTCTTGTGACAATTTAACTACTCATGAGTGAATCAGTGTTTGTAAGAAGTGCCATTCTTATTTTTCTTCTTCGAAACATGTATTTTCATATGCATGTATTTAGATTATCTCGTGAATCAATGTTTCCATTTGTGTTTGACACACATGCATTCAATTTAAGATATCTCAGATCATGCTGAATCAAAACAAATACTAAAATAAACAAACGCGTCCAAGTCTTATTTGATCAACGGTCAAAAGAACTCTCAAGGCGCGTCCTAAAGTCATTTCATTTTTTCTTGAAGTATTATGTACAAAGTGGTATATGTAAAAAGACTAAAGAATCAACATTTTGAAGCTGAAACATTAGTCAATATATTTGGTTTACCAGAAACAAACGAGAAGTGTCAATACTACATGATGTAGTCTACATCTATGAGATACACATAACAAAAACGTGTAAAGGTTTGCGAATTAGGGTTATTTTCTTACAATAATGTATATTTAACATCTTCCTAACGTACAATGATAATGTTTATGAATATAAGAACGGACAGAACAGAAAGATTTATGGTTAGAACGTAAGCACGAATCAGAGTTCATTGTTTTTTTTCTATTGGTTGGGCAAAGAATCCAAGCAAAAGGCACTAAGTTACTGTCAGCACACGAAGACAAAAACTCAATACATTGTGCTATTAGCTGGCATCTTTTGTTGGTTTTGTTTTGCCATTTTCATTCGTTCTCGTTTTGGTTATAATCTCGGACATATTAAAGTCTATATAATAGTCTCCGGACCCTATTATATAAATGGGTCAATTTGACATAGAAGAATGTCAAATAAATAAAAACAAAACGCTAGCCGAAAGTTACAATTATTTCAATAAACCATTACAAAGAAAAGCATATTAAGCCTTATGTCATCGGACATAAACTATATACTATTATGAAGATATTTGTAATATTATAATGATAAGAAATAGTGAGAGTTCTCATCGTGTCATGTGCCAAGTTTTTTCTTCTGTCGACCAGATATTTTATTTGGTTATATGTGATAAGTTATCATCAATCATATACATAGTGATAACTCGTAAAAATCATGTGACAACTATTTTGTTTCGACCTTGACAAGTCGAAAATAGAAACATTGAATGATTAAAAACACACATAATATAAAAGAAACAAAACAGGGCTTCATATAGATTGATGCTGAATAGATAAAATACAGTAGAGCTAAGCCTAACTACGCGTACGTAGATGAGATGGGCAACGTGTGGGGGTGACGATGAGAAGTGGAAAACATGGCACGTTTGAATATACGTGTCGCGGACGTGGATTTGTCCGACTTATCCATGCCGATGTAAATTACATACGACGACGCGGGATTTAGTTAGAGACCCATACGTATCTTTTTTTAATCCTATAAGATTGTATTGTCCCATTTTTTATAGGTTAGTAGGTGAGGAGGTCAAATGCACCAATTAAGCAGTTGACCCGTTTAGTAATCTTTGTCTTTTTTTTGGGTTAATGGTTCTTAAATGTTGCATGGTCAAGCTTATGGTGTTGTAATTACTATGTTTTCAATATATGTTTTGTTTACTAACTAGTAACATGCAAAATCCGTGGTATAAGTGTATTTTATTTAGGAAAATTAATAAATGTATCCAATTTTTTTTTAGACGTTGTTCACTATATGTTAGTTGTCATAATTAATAAAATCTGGCAGATGTTAAAAAAAATGATTTTTAAGTACAGTACATTGTTTTTTTTCATTCACTTGTGATTACATAAATATATCATATCTTATGTGTCAATATTGAGTTAATAAATTATATAAATGCTAACAACCCAAAAAAACCTCCACCATGATTTTTTTGCACCCAAAATATTAAAAATACAGTAGACCGACTCAAATTGAGTATGACACTAATTTCTTATAAGTTTTTTCTATTAAAATTAATATTAGAATAGATAGATAGATAAAATTGGTAATTTAAGTTATGAGATAAGAATGGTGGTTACATATATTATTATATACTTTTGAGATAGCTATTGAATAAACCAAAGGAAATATTTGTCGAATGATTATAGTTCAGCTTGTGTAAACAAAAAGTTCCCAGTTTTTTTTAAGAAAATTTGGTTTGAATCGTCCATATATATTATTTTTGACCACAAAAAATAAAAGAATGGCAATAAAATTGCTAAATAAATTTTGGTTCGAATCATCCATATCATATAATCTTGAAAATTTCTTCTGATGCTATATTGTTGGCGGAAAGGTTACGGAATGAATAAGCAACCAACCACGACCATGGAAAATGATTTTTTTAGAAACTCAAAAACAAAGTACTAAAATTATAATAAAAATTTAAATTGTTGAATTATGATTGAAAAGTTGGGATCCACTGTTTATATATAGTGATGTCATGTGCAATACTTTTTTAATACTTGTATTATGATGATACCATGCATGCTTAGCTAGCTCTTCTAAGTACAATATATACACAGTCCTTTTCGGTATTTGGATAGGATACTAGGTATTCTATTAAAATCCATACTTTAAATATCATCTTTACAATAAATAAATAACTTTTAACTTATCTTAAAGATGAGTACGAAAATCAATATATTTTTTACTAAACTTGATGATTATATACAGATATTATGAAAAGAAAAGATGATTGATCTTGTCCAATATATATTTAAATTGTAAGTATATAATTTATGAATATACTAGCATTTTTTTTGTTTAAAAATATACTTGCAATTTTTAGAATTTACGACATCACAAAAGAGAATTTGTATTATCTTTATAGCTTGCTAGGATATTTTTGACGAAATTGTATATATATATTTTTTAAAAGTGTATGTGTATATATACATTTTCCTTGAGAAATTTTGATATAAATTGTATATGTTTTTTATTCAGCACAAAAATGATTTTGGTATATGTTAGTGTCCTCTTCGATCGTGTGTGTGATATATTCGAAGTTTCGAACACGTAAAAATCTCTGTCTCCATTGATTATTATGTGTCTATTCTTTGATTGATAATGACTGTGTACATTTAACAACTGATTTCGAGTATCTAACGAATACCATTTTCTTCTTTTATATCGACGTAAAAATATTTTTCTTTATTTTTGGAAATTAAAGTATATATATTATCAGCTGATTAAGTTTTATTTTTTTACGTTTTTTAAAGGTTAAAATAATAGAAGGTTTTACCGACCACATATATAATCTGAAATGTGATCACCACTCAAATAGTGAACTACTTTCCGACCAACCTCATTGTATGGTTCTCCGTAAGCCTCTCCATACACCTATTGATACACTTACAATAAATAAAAAATATCACTAGTCGAATAATTCTATTTTCTATTTTGGATTGTGAGTGACTCATATAAGCGTTAATAAGACTCGATCTTAAACGACAAAAAAAAAAAAATATTACAGAACTAAAACATAGACATCAGAACATTATTACAGAACCCCAAAACATAAACATCAGAACAACTGTTAAAATAAGGATTAAGCAAATTAAAGAAAAAAGAAAAAAGAATTAAGATGAATATTGATTATGACATTATCGGCGGAACATAGAAGAAGTACGTAGGAGACAAGCACTTGCAAAGTGCAACTTGTCCTTTGTTTTTATTTCTTATTGCATAAAAACTATGTTCAAGTTGGTACCTTTTTTTTATCACTCAACACATATACAAATAAATTTGTACCTTTTTGAGGTTATGATTTGAGAAAACTTGCGATTTTTTTCCTTAAGATATATTTTACAAAATTTGATTTAGTTTTCACCACAAAACAAAGTTTTAATCAAATCCTTTAATGGTGATTGATTTGAAATCACACTACTAATCGACAAATACTTTCGTGTCTCTAATATTAAAAAAAATATATTCAAGGATTAATTAATACTAATTAGGTTTATATCTTCATAAACGTAATCTAAATATCTCAACAAAAAAATAAAAAAATAAATAGTTTCTGTGAATGCTGATTGATTTGAAGTCAGTAACCCTTAGTTATATATGCGTACTATGTAATATATACATCATTGTCGTCAAATGATAGTTATAAATATTTATTTAGTTTTTAGTTTACAAACAATCTACTACTGCATTTCTTTATATAAAAAACTCCTATTTCAATAGTTATATTACATTTTACTACTAGTTCTTTGAAATAAAACTTAGAAAACAAATTAAACTGGTGCACAAATTTTTTTTTTAACTTGTACTATTTTAGTCATTGTCTTAAATTAATTTTGAAGTATGATGGATATTTTTATAGTATATAATATCAATAAATAAGTGATGTTTCTAAAGAAATCAAAAAAAAAAAAAAGAAACTAGAAAGTGATGTTTCTAAAATTTGTACTTTACTAAATAAACTTGTTTCTACAGTATATTTAATATTGGGCTGACACTCAATTTAAAAGGCCCATATCAACATACACATTTGTTGTTGTTTTTCCAATATAAAAGAGAATTTTCATTAACAAAACTAATAAATTAAATATTACTCAACTTTCTAAATTTGCATTAGATATTTAGATATAAGAAAAATACTTCACTTTTTATTATTTGATTCAAAGAACATTAAAAAGCCTTTCAGTTTACATGTAAAAGATTTCAAACTAATACAAAATACTAATCCTTACACATATTTTATAATAAAAAATACCTACCCAACCCCAAGAAATGAATGAAAGAATAAAATCAATATTTTTTCCCTTTTTCTAAACTCTTTAAAACCCTAAAATGTATATTTTTAAAATTTAGTTTTGTTTCCTTAAAACCCTTCTAACTCCTTCCGATAGTCCAAGCCGAGATTGTATAAAGTGGCTGCTCCGACCACCTTAACGTGACTCCACCGCCGCGTCCGCCTTCAGCTCCGCCGTCTTCATCCCTCCTCTCCACGTTGAAAAACCCCTCATTGCCAGATCCGTACATCCTAAGCAACATCTTGCTCTGCAAAACCTCTCTCTCCGAGACTCCAAGACTCCGAAACCCTAACTGCTCCAGCATCCTCCTCCAGTGGCGAAAACCTACATGCCTCTCTTGCCTATGACTTCCTTCACACGCAACAATGTTCCTGATCTCTCTCCCAAACAACATCTCCTCGATTTTGACTCTGATTAAGCTATCCGTAGCGAGATTCGTGTGAATAGCATCGAACATCGCCGAATAGTACTTCAAAGAGTTACAAACTCGTGTCTCGAGTTGCTCTGAGTTGTGTTCTGCTTCTTGTTCAGCAAGAACTAGGGCAACTGGGTTAGTGCTTCTGATTAAACCCAAAAAGTCTCTAATTGCTGCTCCAGTTCCATCGTAGAGCGTCTTGTGCATCTGCATAACACAGTTTACAGCTACTGATTCACCTTCCTTGACGTGAAGCATCCATAGTCTAACGTCTTCAAGTCTATCAACTACAGGATGAAACTCGAATTGAAGATTCATTGCCTCTGCAAATCCGTGGAGACGATCTCCTGTTTCGTTTAGCTCGAGTTTCGATTCTCCTATTCCAGTGATCCTAACATGGTGTGGTGGATTTGTTCTTGAAGCTAAGCTTTGGAAGAAGCTAGGCCATTGTAAACCTTGCTTGATGTCGAAATCTATAATGTGAACTCTCTCTTTGCCTTCAAATGCTCTGAGTAGCATCTCGTTGGCTGTGAAATGAATGAACTTTGGAATTGGGGTTACTTGATTCAAGAACCTCAATGCATTTCCTGATTCATCCTCCACTGTTCTGTCGAATTCACGAGGCGGTGCGATGTGGAAGATGTGAGGCCACATACGAGCTACTCTTAGTGCCAAAGCTTCAATGTAGTAGGCTATGAGGCGTGTCATTGGTGTTCTTCCTCTAGGAGAAGAAAGATCGCCGATTCTCGCAATGAAATGGTTAATAGCCGCTATGTTCCTCGATCTGATCGCTTCTAAACATCCTGTAATCAGATTAACAAGCTCGAAATCTCTCTGCAGATCGTTCCTGTGATTGTTGTTGTTGATGTTGATGGTTCCGCTGGTCCTTTCTTCTGCTGCGCCTCGGTGTGAGTATGGATTCCTTGAACCATTCGTTGGCTCTGGTACTCTATGGCTTAAGCTATGACTCTCTGATGATGCACTTGTGGATGATCCAGAAGCTTCCTTGACTGCTGCAGGACGGCTACTCTCAACGTCTTTATCGCCTATACCAGCTAACTCAGTGATCACCGAATCAACCCAGTTTGGTAAAGGCTGAGAAATCACTTCACTAGGCACAAAGCAAAGCTTTTCCTCATCATCATCACCTGAACATGTCAAAGAAAATGGTAATGCTGGAGTAGATGAATTCTGGTTAGTAAAATGCTCAAACCAGAAACCACCTTCGTTTTCGCATTTCGTCTTCTTCGCTCTGCTTAAACAAGACTCGTCTTCCTCCGCCAATCTCTTCAAGCTCTTCTTCCCTCTGTTGTTGTTGATGTTGCTGTCGTTGTTCCAAGAAAACCCTTCTCCATTTCCTCTTGTAGTCGCCAAAGGTGGAAGCTTTATGTTCTGCTTAAGGGAACAACCACTCGTCTTGCGCTCGATGGGTTTGCTGCTGTTGTTGTTGTTGCTGTTGTCAAGTGAGATGCTTCTTCCAAGTGGTCGGTTAGAAGGAGTTTCCTTGCGAGTGAAGCTACTACTGCATGGTAAGTCCAATCTCTGTGTGTTCATGGGAAAATGTGCTGATACTGTTGCTGATGTTGCTGCTACTGCTGCTTCACTCCTCAATCTTCGTGTCGGTGACAACAATGATGAACTTGAACAACCTGCCAACATCCTCTAACAAAATCTACCCAACCCAAAGATGGTCTAAGTGTGTGTGAATGTGTGTCCTTGCACAAACAACAATTGATGTTTTCTAAAAAAATGGAATCCGATGAACAAAGATTCAAAATCAAAATCCTTTTTTTTCTTGGTTTTTAATGAAATCAAAGTGAATCCTATATGAAGAAATGAAATTTTTTTTTGTGCGACTTAATATGCAAATATGAAGAATGAATTGAATTGAATCCCCTGCCCCTAAAAAGAACAAACCAATCTATATATTCAAGAAAGAATGAAAGAATTGTCGAACTAATCTAAAAACTTTTATCTCAAATCAATCTACCATAAAAAAATCATCGGATTCCTAAAATCTTTGTATGCAAAACAACAAAAATCTCATCTAGATGACAATGACGACCAACGAGTTCACATCATCAAGAACAGAGACTACAACTGAAGAACGACCACGAAGTTGCTGGATGAACAGACTCGAGAGCTGCTGTAATAAACCCGATCCACCATTCCGGTTCACCATCCCGGTTTGCCAAATCAAGAAAAAAGATCGTTCAAAACATCCAGAAACCCAGATCAGAAACTCAAGATCAAGATCCAAACACTCTCAAAGGTTGTTCCTTTCTTCTTCTCTCTCACTCTCTCTCTCTCACTCACTCACTTTTAGTTTCTCTCTCTCTCACTCACTCACTCTCTCTCTAACTCTCTAGAGGGGATACTATACAGCTTCTACAAATACCATACTTGAGGCAAGTTTATTTTTTAAGAGTTTTGTTGTCTTCTTCGAGAATTGAAGTTGGAAACTTTTCTTTTTACAGTAAATTGTTTTTTTTAGAGAGGTTGGGCAGAGTGAGAGTGAGTGGGTACACGAGGTATCTTAATCTATCTGAGCCGTTGGATCTATCGAATCTAACGGTAGAAAATAAGGGGAGGGGTTCTAGTGACCGTTTGTAAATTGTCGGAGAAATATGACCGTTGGGAGAGAGGAAGAAGAGTGTTGGGTGTGTACGGACATCAATGAGTTTTGATTGGGAAAGCCAATTACGACTTTTTATATATATATATATACACACACACGTAAAAAGATAATAATAATGTATTTTTTGGACAACAAGACATTATATTATTATATTTGTTTTTTTTTGTCTATTTTTAGGCTATGGCACATTCTCAATTAAAAAATAATAACCAATGTATAACCCAAATAACTATTTTGGGTATTAAATTTTATCTGTCATTAGTAAATATTGTCAGTTTTGTGAAATATATTTACTATATTCCATCTCTATTAGTAGATTAATTTTAAAAATGTTTTTTACACATTCACTAATCTTTTTCTATTCTTTTATTTTTACCAATAATTTACATGTACTGTTTTCTCCCCCATAAACCAATACTAATTCAATTTGTCCAATTATTCTCCGTCTGTATTTTTTGACGTCTCTTTAAATTTTATAATTTCTTTTGTCCAAATTTTGTTTTTTTAATAATTTCTTACATCTATTTTTTTAACCATCTTAGGAGAAAAAGAAAACTAAAAAAAGGTTATGAATATCAATTTTTAATGAACATTGTGTAAACTTGCGTTAACCAAAAAATGGGTAGTTTCTGGTCTACTCCTACCTTTAATGCTAACACTAACAATGTCTATACAGCTATACTCTATACAACATCACGATTTTTCTAAAGAAAAGCATAGATTTTTACAGTGAAGTGAAAATTCTAAGTTCAAGCCTATGTGTGAGAAAGAAATTAGATGACTTCCAAGAACAGAGCCTCTTGTTTGTTTATGAGGCCAAGGTCCTTCAATGTCAAGCAACTTTGTTCTGCACCAAATTTCTGTTTTGGGAATGGCTTCACCTGTTATTCCATAGGAGTAGGACATTAGTAATGGAGTTCTGATAAATTTGTGAAAAAAACACACAATTTTATAGTTCAGTGAAGGTACCAATCTGTAAGTATTAGGCTTGATCAATCTACTAACGTCAATGAAGTCGAAAATTGCCTGAAGTTGGAAATCAATTATAAGCAAGGTTTTCATCAGACTGTGTTGTTAATAGGAGAAAGTACCTGAAGATTGTGGGATTTCACAAACCGGTGGGAAAGGCGGTTTCCACTCGGCATACGTATGAGGATGGTGACAGCATTCTCCTCATCTATGGCTGACTCTGGTGGCAGTGATGGTTCTTTTTCAGTCAATTGCTTCTCAAATTCCTTAATGACCACACAAAAAGAGAAACATAAACACTTTAGTTCTATTCTTCAACGGTGAGTACTGAATGGAGTTGTAATTAACATTAAAGAAATACAAGTTGATGTCATCTTAAACATAGAACAAGTAATAGATTTCTTCACCTGTTCTACCTCCACTTTCCTGCAAGCAGCATTCCTGGCCTCGGATTCTCTTATCTCTTTCTCTCTCTCTGCTCGCAATGACACATAGTACTCTTCATTCTGCACATATCAATTAAAATACATATTATGGCACATTTCTGGTTTAATATTAGAACTTTGACTTCCTTTTAATGTTTGGTTTTTGCAAATAACGGACCAGCTTCTCCCCCATCCGGCATTGAACTTCTACAGAAGGTGACAGTGTGTGAGGAGCCAGGATTCCTGACCGGTATCTACTTTCGGGAATTTGACCAATCTTTGTCGCCTCTTGTAAAGTAGACCACTATAGCACATTAAGGAAAATAGCCAACGTTAAGTTGATTTGAGTTATTTTGTTCCATGTGCCACATAGAAATTAAGACAGGAGGATTTGTCAATGCCTCATCTAAATCAGAAGCATCGATCAGACTCTCAACATCTCTGGACATGCTCTCTCCATCCTCAGGTTTATTCTGGTAGGATGTGTTTAATGCTTCCGCACTAGATTAACATGCAACAAAACATAACCAAAGAGTGTGAAGCTTTGCATAGTAGCAAAAACAAAAATCATCAATCCAAAAGACAACAGCGAAAAAAGATATGGGCATACCCACTACTTGATGATTTCATTTGTCGTTGCTCTACATTGAGAGCCTCAGAACGTCCACATCGTAATTCTCCAATCCTACTAGCTTTCTCGTGCAATTGTTTCTCTTTCTCTGCTGTCTGCGATCTTTCGAGTTAGACACGAACAAAGCAAACACAAACCGCAATGCTAGAGAAATGACCAAACAAACCTCCAAGGACAAAGATATAGCATGAGCAAGGTAGAGATCTTGTAAATGAGACTGTCTATGTCCAGCAAGGGCGTCTTCTCCTTCCTATATCAATCCCATTACAGAAGACACTTTTCTTAGATACTATGGAGGTATTATACTCATTAGAAACTTTTAACTATCTGCTTCTCCTCAAAACATAATACCTTTATTTCCTCTTCAAGATCATCGATGCGGTGTAGCGAAGTGTAGATGGGTGGTACACTTGGTGTATGGACACAGCGTGCAAATGGCTCAGATCCAAAAAACTTAGCTGCCTTTTCCTCAAAACGTAATACCTTCCGTTCTTCTTCAAGATCATCAACGTCATGAAGCAAAGTGTTGCTGGGGAGAACTACAGGTGCATGACTACATCGTTTATATGGCTCATGTCTAGAAAACTTAGCTGCCTTTTCCTCACAACGTATAGCCTTCATTTTTTCTTCAAAATCTTTCATGCTCTGAAGCAAATTGTTACTTGGTGTATGGCCAGGGCGTTCAAATGCATCATACCTCATTTCTACTGGAGCTTCCACTAGATTGTTGCTAGCGTTTGGATTGAAATCATCAGCAAGTGAATTAGTTCTTATACTAGTAGCTTCCTCTTGTACATCTATATTAATCGAATCGTCTTCAGACTCTGGACTATAACCTCCACTCGCACTAGCCAAGAAACAAATAAACATAAGATTTCAAAAACCGTAAAAGATATAAAAGAAGCAAGAAAGAATTCAAAAGTGTTAAAGATGATTACAGGTTTATATCCTCTAATCGATAATGCGCATCAAGAGCTGCATTGAGATTTCCTCCATTTTGCTGATTACAAAAACTCATAGAAATCAGAAATCTTGGATTCAGGTACGAACACCCAATGGAAAGAAAGATCCGATTCCGTAAATCCCAGAAAATACCAATTGAGAGAAATCTCCGATTCCGTAAAACCCCAAAACCCCTAATTTAAAGAACAATCGATGATCAAGGAGAAATCGAGAAACGAACCTGGAGTATATGAGCAGCATAGGCTTCTTCGGTGCGGGTGATTCTCGCGAATGTAGTGATCATCAGTGAATCTTGTTTCGCCATTGATGAACCAGCGAAGATTTCTCCTTCCTCAATCTTGGGAAGAGAGAGAGAGAAATCGAGAGGGAAGAAAATAACGGGTACTTTTCGAAATCTGTGGTAAGATATGGGGCAGTTTAGTAACAACAACTAATGGGCTTTACGGACGAATTTAATAAAGCCTAATATTGGGGATACGTTAACCGAGCACAAACAAATATGTAACCAAAATCGAACCGGAATTTATTTGGTTCAAGATAATAATGATTTATTTTCATTTGGACTTTTTGGCTTTAACATCTCAAAACTTTGATTTATAGTGCTTTACTTAAGTATTTCATTAATACTACATTTATATTGACTTTATCTTTTTTTTTTAATTACAATCTATATTACTTTTGATATCTAACAACTTTGACTACATACATATAGAATCTCTAAATCTATGTATATAATATACGCAATATCATGTGTATCTCCAAAATAAATAAATTATTTATAAATAAAAAAGGAAAAAATATATGGAGTCTAAAATTAGGTAAGAAAAACTTTAAAATTGTCAGATTAATAGTATCCAACTCTGCTCACTAAGTGGACAGTGGACACGTTATATCACAATCTGTGATATCTGCAACATAAAATGTTTTCATTTAGTGGAAATTTTTGGAAGTTACTTTGTTAAAATTTTAAGCACATTGATTATGAGTGAACTTCCTAATCAAGTTGTTAAATGTGTGTTATATATAGGGTGTGTTATGAATCTCTTATGCATCAACACCAATTCTATCTACCACCTAGCTTGCTCTTATTCTTCTTATTTTTTTATTTTTTATCTTTCTTAATATGGAAACTATTTATACCGAGATAAATGCCAAAGTCAATCAAGCTAAGACTAATGTAGACTATTTCCATACAGTTTACATGAAAGCCACTAAATTAGGTTTGGCAGACGAAACATTCCAAATCGTGACTAACCCGATCATTTCACAGATGGAACCAATCATCGATTTAGCCAAGGACGTTGTATACAACTTGCAAGTTCTACGGAATTCAAGTCCATACTCAAATTTTCTTCGAGATCTTAATGCGACCGACGAGGATGCAGTCTATGTTTTGGAAAAATCAAAAGTTCCATTGAATATAATGCGAAAAGTGGTTGCTGATGCAAAGGAAAGGAGAAAAGCAAGAGAAGAAGTGCAAGAACGAGCAAGGGAGGAACGAACCAGGAGAGAACAGTTTACGCTTCCATCGGTCCATCGTCATTAAGTTTGGTTAGCAAATCACAATATATGTATTTTGTGTTAGCTTCAAAACTAATCATTTGCTTATTCTTTTTTAGAAAAGTTTACATATGAAAATATCATAACATAAAAACATGATCGACATATTTTACATTGAGAAAATGTTATTCAAACAAACACTAAATTGAAACCGAAACACGTTAAAACTAAATTGAAAACAAAACAGAACCGAAATGCATTATCCGAACCAAAATCAGACCGAATAATGCATTTCAGTTTATAAAACCGAAAAATCGAACCGGAACCAAACAGTTAAACCAGATCGGCGACTCCTGAAAGCGCTAATATCAATACGTCGCCGTTTTGATCTGAGTCGTCTCTCTTCACTCGCCGGAGAGAGAGGAGACGAAGAAGAAAAGACGACGGAGAAAAAATGGCGGAGGAGCAGAAGACGAAACCATGCCGATTCTGGATTTGGGCCTTAACTTCCGTATTTTTCCGATTAATTCTGATCTCCTTCAAGGGAAATCTCAATCTCTCTTCCCGTCCGGAGGTCTCGACACCTCTCACCAGCATTCGCCGCCGTATCGCCTCTCTCTCTCTCTCTCTCCCTCACTCCCTCATTATCTCTCGAAGATCTCGATTCCAGCTCACATTTTTGCGATTTGTGTGTGAATTTTTCAGTTGCTGAAGGTTATTGGTTGAAGCAGGCATCGATGTCACCATACGCAGGTCTATCTCAAGATTTGATCCTCTGTAATTTTAGATTTTTAAAGCTATTGGAAGCTGAAATTTTTACTTGTGATTGAGCAGGATCAATGTATCATGGCTCACCATTGCTGCTCTCGGTTCTTGGACCTCTCACGGTTCAGAGGTAGTGACTGAAGTCGATTTCGATATTAGGTTTTGTGATTTGTTGAGCTTGAACCATATCAAAACATGATTTTTTTCCTTTTGAGGTTAATTGGATTACAAATTTGGGTTTTTTGCAGGATTAAAGGGCAACCAAGTCATCTCTTGTGCAGGTACTTTTCGATGTCCCTTCAATTCTGTGATCACATTTTGTTTCTTGATTCTCAGATTTGAACTAGTTTAAACGCTTAGGTAGGATTAGATTGTGAGTATAGGTCTTGGTAAGCTGTTTCTCTATGGGGTTAAGAAATGTGAATATGGAAAAGATATGATCTTTCAATGTTTTACTATTCATCAATAGCTTCGTAGCCATGTATTTGATACCAACATTCTCTTGGATACAGCTTGGTATTTGTTATTGCAGATATATTAAGTGCAATGCTTCTTCGAGGTATTGGTCAGAAACTCCAGATGGCTTATGGATTGAATGCGAGACTACTTGGCTTTCTTAAGTCATCAAGGGATAAAGGTAAAGTTAAGTCATTTTTGAATTCAGTGTATCATTTATCTTAGTCCCTAGGTATATCTGTTTCTTCGCACTTGAGATCTTAGTAGAGAGAAATTTTCCTTTTTTATTGTAACTATTTACTTGAAGGCAAAGATTGATTTCTCCCTTTTCGTTGTCTTCTCAGTGATCCTACCTTGTGGTGATATTGCTGCTCTTGTGTATTTGTGGAATCCATTCACCATAGTTTCTTGTGTGGGTTTATCAACTTCTCCAATTGAAAATCTGGCCGTCATACTGGCTCTTTATGGAGCAGTTACTCGTAAGAAGATGATGATCCTTGCATATTGATATTTTCAATCATTTCCAGACATTCTATAACCGATATTTTCTACCCATGCAGGACGAGTTCCTCTGGCTGCATTTGGCTTAGTCATGGCCACACATTTATCTCTTTATCCTGCAACTCTTGCAATTCCAGTATGTACCGTTTCATTACGTATTTCACGCTTCTCATATCAAACAAAATATAATTGCTCTTATGTATTTCTCACAGATAATTATTCTATTGGGATATGGTTTGGATGCTCCTCCTATAAAATTGTTCCTTCAGACCAGAAGTGTAGAAAATGAGAAGAGTTCAACCTCTACTGTTTCTAAGCAAGCCAAGTCGAAACAGACTACACGCCTTCCGTTCTTATGGAAAACAGTTGTGCACTTCTTGTTCTGGGTACTTCTGTGGTCGCTTTATGTGCTGGTTTTATGCGCCTTATCACTGAATAAATATGGTGGGCTTGAGGAAATGTTCAAGAGGTACCCTAACATTGAAATTTAATTCATACCGCAATAGGATTAGTTTCTGTTAGCCATATATAGAACAAATAAAATTATTCTCTATAAGTTAGATTCCAACTTTTATAACTATGATTCAAGAACTTGCAACATAATTAATTGTTAGGCGTTTTGACGTTTGTGTGTCTTTGCCACCTATTATAGGACGTATGGTTTCATTCTCAGTATTGAAGATCTTTCACCAAACATTGGAGTCTTTTGGTAAGTATAGTAAGATCACATTATCAGCCATGGATAATGAATCCATATTCTAATACATTATTCGTTTTAAAATCTCAATTTCAGGTACTTTTTCGCAGAAGTCTTTGACTTCTTCAGAAACTTTTTCCTGATAGTTTTTCACGTTAATATTCTGTTTATGTTACTCCCTTTAGCCATACGGTTAAAACATCGGCCTTGCTTCCTGGCTTTCATATACTTAGCGATCTCCTCGATTCTTAAATCTTACCCTTCAGTAAGTACTTGATTTTACTGTGAACTATATATTATTTATTTTTTGAGGAATTGTACTAAAAATATTAACAGTGAGTTGATTAAATCATTTGATTGAACTTCCTAGGTTGGAGATTCTGCTTTATACTTGAGCTTATGGGCATTGTTTGTCAATGAGTTAGTAGGTAAAAGAAGATACTTCGTATTCTACTTCGCATTGTTTAGCTTTTGCATATAAACTCTATCTTTTGTTTTGCATAGATATGAAGTTCTCCTTCTTCCTCTTCTGTGGATATCTTGGGATTTCTCTCCTCAGCCCTGTGATGCACAATCTCTGGATATGGCGGGTAAGCTCAACTCAAATTTATAACCCAACTCTTCACATCATTGCAACAAAATGTTCAAATGATCATAACTACTTTTGGATTTTTCATTACAGGGCACAGGAAACGCAAATTTCTACTTTGGAAACGCTATTGGCTACGCGTGCTTTCAGGTAAAATATAAGCGTAGCCAAATCCATTATTCTATTTAGTACTTGGAGTTTAGATTCACGGAGTGCACAATTAGATATCAACAAGAGGATGATGAGATTATCATATGTTTTTTTGATCAAACGAAGTAGCTTATGGATTTTGTGCGGGTTTTTACAGATCGTTTTTGTGGTTGAGAGCGTAAGCGCAATGCTAAACCATGACAGGGCTCTGAAGAGATCTAACTCGAACCATGGAAAAAGTCAAGAGCTAAGCCATTGAAGGTCATTGCGCCACTTTTCTATTACACGTAAAGAAAAGAGTTTGGTCTTTCGCTTAACGTTGGCCACATCATGTGATTGTTGTGACTTGTGAGTTCGCTTTTCTTTGTTAGAGAAACATCATAGAAATGACAAATCTTCAGTGCCTTGCAGTTAAAATAACAATTTTTTTTTTTGTTTCTTTCTTTGTTGTTGTCAATCAAACAATTCATTTGCACTCTGTACCAAGACAACAAGTTGAGAAGTGGTTCTGGTCTGAATTAATATAAGGAATTGATTATACAAAAATTGGTTCCTGTCTGATTTCAGTTATTCAGATTTTAGAATTATGATTTATGAAGTCACACTCGCACAGTTCATAAATAAATTTTGATTCGGTTTAACTATGTTGGTTCAGATCAATTCAGTATGTTATGTTTTTTGTGGTTGCGGTTTTTTTACCACCCTACCAATAGCGACATTTTTCTATTGATGCAAAGAATAAAAGCAAAACAATACTCCATGTTTAATAACAAATTTGAAATTTATATAAATCAGTTTTTTTCTGACAATAAGAATTTATTACTAACTAAAAAAATCATTATTTTTTTTTAAAAAAAAAAGAGTTTTGGATATCATTTTCGTATAGTAAATTTTAGTTTTAATTTTATTTTGAACATAGATAATATGTCCATACATACGAATCCTAATCCAGCAATTTTATAAAATATACTAACTTAAGTAATTGCTTACTAGTTTTTCAAAAAATAAAAAAAAGGTAGTTTGCTTACTTGCGTAGTTAATTACTATTCTCACGTTTCACCAAATTTTTTTTTTTACTATTCTCACGAATCCAGAAAACGTCATTGTCTACTTAAGAGCTATTGGGAGTCAAAACATACAAAATCCAACGTAATATATATATCAATATAAATCTCTTACAACTTGGCTATCGATATTGTTGTTATTATAGAAATTTATCAATGAATCGGAAGACGTGTTTTCACTGCTTTAAGTTATTATATTTTCTAAACAAACATATCCAAAACCCCCCCTACACAACAAATATCAATCAATACCAATCTTGCATAACTTGGACTATTAACTCATTTAAATTTTGTATTCGTTTCATGTTCTTTGAGTCTTTTCCAAAATTATTTCTATAACCATTTTATTTCATGGTTGTCGAGTAACAAAATTATCTTGATAATCTTGTTTTACGTTCATCCAAAAACTTTTGTGTATTGTAAGAGTTTACAAGTGTCTAGTTTAGTACATACATATACATACCTGAATATAGAATTAGTGTGAAACTTAACCACTGCTTCTTGTTTATTTTATTCGTTGCCTTCTCTTTACCCTCAATTACCGCTGTTTCCAATACATGCCAAAGATGTATAGGAAACAAACAAAAATATACATATATTATGGATATTGGACAAGGTCAAATATAATACACATATATTAATAATATGTTATCCCAAAAGGACAAACTAAGAGCATTCTCATTGATGAGAATCTCATACAAAAGTATCTGATAAAAAAAAATTATTTTTATTATTTAATTAAATTTTAATATTTTTTGATAATATGTTATATGTTTACAAACTATACGAGCATTCTCAGATCTCAGAAAATCATTTTTCCTATTATTTAATTGACTACTTGATTTATTATATTTTCGAAACAAATTAAACGATATATTTTCATCATTAGTTTACATCGATATTCTTTTTCTTCGTTCTTAATTGGACTATGTAAGTTATAATAAAATATACGATGAAACAAAAAAAAAACATATCTAAAATCAATCAAAAGTTGGTATATAACGTAACTCAACTAAAACTTTGGATTATACTAACGCGTACGTAACATATTAATTAATAACAATTTAAGGTTGCTGTCAAAAAAAAAAGAAAAAAAAAACACAAATTTAAGCTTATGTTCTTCCTTAAATATTGTAAGAGGAACGTACGTGGCTTTCATTTTTACAGTCACCATGATATTAACGTTAATTTATGTATGAACCACGTTTTTTCTGCTTGATTAGTTACCATCGCACGATATGAAAATTATATAAATTTGACAAAAAAGCAACATATGCATGGGCGACGAACCTAGTGTAGATAAATAGGCGTCAATGACTCAAAGTGACCGCAATAGATATGTATTTAATGGAGCTAGTAAATTTAATTTTTAGTAAATTATAATTTTTTTCCAAAAACTTGTATTATTGCATTAAGTTGATGTGTCAACTTCAAGGGCTTGCCTCGTCTCTATTTAAGGAGTCGTCATATGTATGAAGAAACATGCACCAGTAGTCAAAAGCATCAAATCAAAAACATGTTAGGATTCTCTATCAATTAGAGTGATGATGTCGTGGGCATTGTGCATTTGGGTTTCTCTACTTGTGACAAGCATCACAACTTGGGTTTACAAATGGAGGAACCCTAAATGCAGTGGGAAGCTTCCACCGGGTTCCATGGGCTTACCACTTCTTGGTGAGACGATTGCTTTCTTCAAACCTTACTCAAATTTAGATATCCAACCTTTTATCAAAGAGAGGATTAAAAAGTGAGTTTATTCTTCTTCTTTCTTCTTCTTCCTCTTCCAGAGTTGTATACCAAAGTGAGATCCTTATACAGTTCGTAACTTACATGTAGGTATGGGCCAATATTCAAGACCAGCTTTGTTGGGATACCAGTTATTGTAGCAACCGACCCTGATTTTAGTTATTTTGTGCTCAACCAAGAAGGCCAATGTTTCAAGAATTGGTATCCTGATACTTTCACTAAGATCTTTGGAAATCAGAATCTTGCAACATTACATGGCTTCGTATATAAGCACCTCAAGCACATGATCTTGAGTCTTTTTGGCCATGAGAGTCGCAAGAAGATGCTTCCTGAAATTGAAGAAAATGTTTGTAAGAAGTTAAAGCTCTGGTCAACTCAAAACTCAGTTGAGCTGAAAGGTTCAACAGCAAGCGTAAGTCTCACGTAACATAGTTTCCACTTCTCTGTTAGAACGTGTTTATAAGTTTCTGAATTGCTACACATAATATATCAGTTGATATTGGATCTCACCACAAAAAAGTTGATGGGCCTTGATCAAGGCAAGTACTCAGATAAACTAAGGGATTGCTTTGCTGCGTTTAATGATGGTTTGATCTCTTTCCCTATCAACATCCCCGGGACAGCTTATCACAAGTGCCTAGAGGTTATTACTTAGTCACAATTCATGGTGTTTCATTTTCTTGTTAAGCACTTCATAGTAATTAAGGCTTTAAATTGGTGACTGGTTCAGGGTAGGGAAAGGGCAATGAAAATGTTGAGAGATATGCTTCAGGAGAGGCGTGAGAATCCAAGGGAGAATCCAAGTGATTTCTTCGATTATGTTATTGAAGAGCTTAAGAAAGAAGATACACTTTTGACAGAAGAAATTGCACTAGACTTGATGTTTGTGTTGATTTTCACCAGCTTTGAGACAACATCTTATTCATTAACTTTAGCCATCAAGTTCCTCTCAGACGACCCTTCAATTCTTAAAAGTCTAACGGTCAGTAAAATAAAATAAAACCAATTTCTCTACATAAGCTGATACTTACCAAAAGTAAAACGTATTGAAATATGAATCAGGAAGAGCATGAGGCAATTCTGAGAAACCGTGAAGATGCTAACTCTGGACTTACTTGGAAAGAATACAAATCAATGACTTACACACTTCAGGTTTATTATAAGGATTCATTAAGTTTGTCAATCTCCTCTAAGGTAGATTGTAATCGGAACTCTCATCTAACCAAGTGTTATATTAATTTCAGTTCATAAACGAAACAGCGCGGCTAGCGAATTTAGCTATTGGAATTTTTCGAAAAGCCTTGGTAGATACCGAGTATGAAGGTATGATCAACCAAACAACAACACAAAACACTCAAATTAATTGTTATATATATATAATTCACTTTGTAAAAATGGATACAGGTTATATAATTCCAGCTGGTTGGACAGTGATGGTATGTCCTCCAGCTATACATTTGAATCCAGACATCTATGAAGATCCTCTTGTCTTCGATCCATCTAGATGGGAAGTGAGTTCATCAAAATCTTCTACATGAATATATTTACCTTGTAATCCAAGTAACCCTGAAAAGGTTTTCATAACAAAACTAAATCAAAACTGGTGAATCATAGGGATCAAAATATACAAATGCATCAAAGACATTCATGGCGTTTGGTGGAGGAATGAGATTCTGTATCGGAACTGACTTCAGCAAACTCCAAATGGCAGTGTTCCTTCATAGCTTGGTCACAAAATACAAGTATAATTAAAAAAGGCCAATTTTTTCTTGTTGATTCAAAGAGATACAACTAGCTATACACTTATGGGTACTGATATTAGTAATGTTGTTTCTTGGATTTCATATCAGATGGGAGGAGATCAGTGGAGGAAACATACGTCGAACTCCTGGATTACATTTTCCAAATGGGTATCATGTTAAACTCAAGAAGAAAGAGATCTGATATTTACAATATACAAGACCTAAGATGCATATTATATGTTGTGTACTTTTATTAAAAATTAGATATATTATACTATAGTATACTGTTTGTATTAAACAAAAATAACGCTTTTATTATAAATTAGACATCTATGAAAATCCTTTAGTCTTCAATCCATCTAGGTGGGATGTGAGTTCATAAATCTTGTTCTCTTAAGTAACCTGAAAAGAAACTGGGATCAGATTCATGTGGAATGTGAGTTCATAAATCTTGTGTCTCAAGTACCTTGCGGTTAAAGTAAACAATTCATTTGCGCTTTGTACAACAAGTTGAGAAGGGTCGGTCTGAATTATTATAAGAAATTTGGTTTGGTTTTAATTATACAAAAAAAGTGGTTCCGGGTTGATTTCAGTTATTCAGATTTAAGAATTATGAAGTCACACTCACACTGTTCAAAATCCACGTTGCTGCAGCTTGTAACCCTTTTACTTTCAACTTTTTCTTGGATTTATCATTATACACCATATTTATACTTAGGTTAACTTTTAACATATAGTTTGCAACAACACTAAACCCAATACTTAATGGGCTTGATTATCATAATGGCCCAATAACCCTTAATCCTAAAGGTCTTAACAAAAGTTTTCTCCCTCATTTTTGTCGCTTCTTCTTCTCCACTCTAATATTCCTCTGACTTTCTTCTTCTTCTCTATTCAAGCTTCTGATTCATTCTCTCTTTCAAGTTTGAGTATTAATCAAGGTTTGATTCCAACACACGCAGTTCATGTCGGTCTAACTATTTTGGTTCAGTTCGATCCAACATGTGTTCTTTTGTTGTGGTGCAAAAGAATAGAAAGCAAATTAAATAATATGATATAACGTCTATAAATTAATTGCTTAAGAGTTATTTTATCCTTATAAATTAGAAAACGTTGTATTATATAAAGTACAAACTTAAGTTCTCAAATTGGAAAACGTGTTTCACAATTACTACTTGTGTGATTTTTTATTTTACAAAACATATACAAAATCAACCTGTCTTTCATCGCGAGCATCAATATAGAAGGTTTTATTTTTCATGTTCAAGCTGATTAAAAGGTGTTAATACCAGTGAAATCCAAGTGCGCGCAGAGAAAATTTTACACTTCAATGATTCAATCAAATAATATAACGAAACATGTGTTGAGATTTAAGTACCTTCGATACAGTTATACAATTTATGTACTTAAGACAGTTTTTGAGAAGTATATGGTTTTCAATTGTAATACACTTTTTGTTATTATCCCTTTTTGGCCTCGATCCATTTCAAAATTTTCATTAGTGGAGTTTCTATTCATAGAGTACTCATGCTTAAATTTGTGATGCAGGATAAGGTAACGCCATGAAAATGTTGAGGATTGGAATATGCTTACTAAAAAAGAAACAGTGCATTTCTACAGAAAACAACAATGTAATTATCCAGTAGGAAACCATTTTTGATAAGAATATTTTTAAGAAATTTTCTATGAAAAAAATTATTATGAACTTTTTAGGCAATCTCGTAGAAAAGTGGAAGGATGGTTTTGACCAAAATATTTGTAAGAAATACGGCTCTACCATTTTCCTACCAAACTTCTTCTACTTTTTTCCTACAAATAATGCTACCATTTTACCATAATATAAATCTTTATCAGCTTCATACGAACTTAATTAATAAATATCAAAATTAGTTAATTTGTAATCAATAATTATGTTAGTTTTAAAAACTAAATAGGAATGATAAATTAATAATCTATTATTAACCTGATATATATATAAAATCAAATTAATTTACAATCAAATAACAAGAGTTTTACAATTTACACACCCTTGAGGCTTGAACCATCTCTTCATTAATTTCGCATCCCTTCACACGCCATGACTTGTTTCGATTTGCTTCTTCTAGAATTCCATCTACGAGTCCCTTGATCAGTTGCTTGTGTTCTTTCAGAACCCATAAGAGAGATAAAGCTTCGCTACTCGACTGATTATATATTACATGGAAGCATGTCTAGTCTTATACTCCACAATAATCTTAAGAATCACAAGAAAAGATCAACTTAAGAGAGTACATGCCTCAAAATCAATGATACACTATGATTTGACACAATATGAAACTAAAAGAACGATGCAACTTCTAATATGAAACCGAAAGCAGGATAATAGATTAGCTTTTGTTTTTCAAGACCATTCAAAATAAAACATATTGTCCTTCCATTTTCCTAGGAATTTTCCTACAACTATATACTATGTAGAAATTTAGTAGGATATTTTTTACAGATCTTCTTAGGAAATTTACTTCCAATTTCCTACAACAATATTTTTTCGTAAAAAAAAACCATAGGTACGTGGTAGCAAATATGTTTTACCACATATTTCGTAGGGAAATTAGTAAGATTTAACCTAGCTAGCTATGACTTATTTGTAGAGCTTATAACATAAATCACAATTCTAAGAGAAGTAATTAATATTAGATTGTGGGCTTCCAACTTAAAACCAATTGGCAATTAGTGCAGAGCCCCATATATCTTATATACTAGTCAGGATCCTACTCAACTTCCAATGTGGGATATATATCCCTTATACGCCCCCTCTAGATGATGACTCTTCTGGTCATAGATCTCGGTATGTTCGGGCATGAATCGGCAGGCCAATTATGGGTCAGACCGATTGTGGATTGGATTGAGTATGTGTGGACCGGGCTCTGATACCATATTAGATTGTGGGCTTCCAACTTAAAACCAATTGGCAATGAGTGGAGAGGCCCATATATCTTATATACTAGTCAGGATCCTACTCAACTTCCAATGTGGGATATTGTATCCCTAATACAATCTAATATGGTATCAGAGCCCGGTACGCACATACTCAATCCAATCCACAATCGGTCTGACCCATAATTGGCCTGCCGATTCATGCCCGAACATACCGAGATCTATGACCAGAAGAGTCATCATCTCGAGGGGGCGTATAAGGGATAAATATCCCACATTGGAAGTTGAGTAGGATCCTGACTAGTATATAAGATATATGGGCCTCTCCACTCATTGCCAATTGGTTTTAGGTTGGAAGCCCACAATCTAATATGGTATCAAAGCCCGGTCCGCACATACTCAACCCAATCTACAATCGATCTGGCCCATAGTTGGCCCACCGATTCATGCCCGAACATAGCGAGATTTATGGCAAAAGAGCCATCATCTCGAGGGGGCGTATTAGGGATAACAATATCCCACATTGGAAGTTGAGTAGGATCTTAAGTGGTATATATAAAATATGGGCCTCTCCACTCATTGGCAATTGGTTTTAAGTTGGAAGCCCACAATCTAATAATTAATTGCCTTAGACTTGATGTTTTCCTTGCTTTCTACAAACTTTGAAACAACTTCTTAGTTTGTTTAGGTTTTGCTAATAACCTTTTTAGTTTTTTTAGGTTTTGAAACAACTTCTTAGTTTGTTTAGGTTTTCACATATTGTTTTCGTGGTTGAGAGTGTAACGCGCAAGGCTAAACCATGACCAGGCACTAAAGAGATCTAACTCGAATGAGATCGAGAAGTGACTAAACCATTGAAAGGTCTTCGGCCTTTGTGAAGTGAAGTGTTTAAGACATTGAATTTTCATCACGTCGCGTCAATGTTCTATTACACGTAAAGAAACGAGTTTGGTCTTTAGCTTTGTGGTGTGGATTAGATAAACCACAAACACATAACGCTTACCACATGCATTTTTGTGGTTCAATTTTTTTTGTTTGGGGATATCATATCAATGACAAGTCTGATGTACCTTGCCATTAAAGTCCAATGTGGACAGGGACAATCACAAAAGGCAGTTTAACTGTTTTTTTTTTTTTTGGTAATTAGTAGTATAAAACAATTAATCTGCATCATTCATTTACGAAAAGCAAAAACTAAATTTAAGTTTGATCATATTCTTGAATTTGTAGAAGCTTTTACAGGTTACAGTTTCGTTTTCATTCCGAAACAAAAAACAATTGAATCGTGTTCATCAAAGCAGGAATCTTCCGTTGCAAAAAATCTTTACTATAAAAACTTATCAGAAAAAATTATATACCTCTAATCCTAAAACAATCAAATATCATATACTGTCACCAAAAATTTATATATTTATGTATATATATATAAGTTTTTGGTGACAGTATATAACATATCATATTGATGACATTTTCACCAAAGAAAAAAATATGACATCATATCCTTATTCGTAAGCACCAACAAATATTAACCATAAAACCTAGATTGCATATACTGTATATGTAATTAATATGTATGTATACAAGTTATCATCACCAGACGCGACACGCCTTCTAATCCCAAAACACATCAATCATATGTTTTTATTTAAGACAAACCTTTTCATAAGCACCCACCAATATGAATGAACCATAAGTAGAGATATATATACCTAAGATTGCAAATATACAAAAATAGTATATCATATCACCATCTAGTCCTAAAACCCATCAATCATAATTAGATAAGACATTATCTTATCCTAATCCCCACCAATATTAATTAGTATTAACATCTTTTAGTAATTTATCATCTTTATTTTAGAGTGTCATCTGTTTCCAGAAAAATATATAATTTTCCGTGAAGAATTATATACCGTTTTGCTAAGGTACTTGCAAGATATATTGAAAATCATCAATACTAACCTTCATTTCCATATACTTTATTTTTGGGCAAGTAACCAAAATCTACATATAAAATCATATCATAGTTATATAAGACTTAAAAATGTGGGAGGTTTGGTGCAAGGGATCAACGCCAAAACATGCATTCAATATGTGGGTCTCCAATCTTGATAGCTCCTAAGTGTGTCATGTCTAGTTTCTTGGGGTCTATAAGACTACAAGTGCCTACTTCATGTTGCATGCATGTGTTCTGGTTTGGTGGAAACATAAGACCATCTCTTCATTGACTTCTAATTCTCTTAAGTCTTTGGAACTCAAATATATCTGCAAGTCTATTTGCCAGCTGAGAGTCCTTGTTGGCCTAGACAAAAGTTAGAAAACGATCATCTCCACCAACACTTGGGTTGCTACTAGTTCATGCCTTGGTCAGTGTTTGGAAGCAGAAAGACAACTTCATTCACAACCACATTACTACCCCTCCGCTTACCATCGATCTTTAAAGATATTGACCGGCAACTTAACAACTCAATCACATCCAAAAATGAATTAAAGAAAATTCAGGAATCTCATAGAACTTTAGCTTCACTCTAAAGGATTAAGGATTAAAAATAATTATTATCCAAAGGAATTTCTCTCTCTATATAGATGTTATTTATGCTTTGTTTTTTATCCTTTGGTAAAATTGTAAATGTTAGTGCGACAAACCCAATTTTTTAACCTTCAACAAAATTATTATGAAACCCAAGTTTTTAATTGATACGGAAACGGAGAAATATAGAACACCACATTTGTCTTTTACTAGTTTAAACTTGTTTTAAAGTCTTTTCATCACTATCAAGCTTCGTTAAACAATCTTCTTGCTGTCTCTGAACTTTCTTCTCAGTCTCAAAGAAAAAAAGGCTACGTACTTATATTTGAGTGAGTCGAGGTTTCATGCATTTGATATTTCCTTCGCTTCTTTTTCTGATTGTATAATATATATATATATATATATATATATATATATATATATATTATTATATATACTAATA